CCACCTCGAATCTGGACGAAGTCTTTTCATGATTGCAACGCTCCTAGAAGCCAGTTGGAAAAAACCTTAGACAACTGTTTGGTTGGGTAAGGTTCCTCTCATTGTACTGAAATTTTCAAGCTTTCGCTAATATGTTGAGATAAGAACGAGAAAAGAACATTCATTCCACCCATTCCCCTTCAGAATACAGTATGGTTGGGTACACACTACCAAAAAGTCATGTAAATTTCCGTGCCCTGAGACCGACACATGCAAGCGGCCCAAATGACATAAGAATCAGTTGAAAGAAACCAGAAAATAAATTCAATCAATCGTACTTTTCGTCGAATTGCGTATGTTTCGGTTTGGGAACACTTAATTTTACATGACATGTTTGTTTACATTCCATAATTTACAACAGCAACGATGTCCTAGTAATACAAGTTTTAATCAGCAATGGTTTAATATACACAACAATGAGAAATTAGAACGAAATCACACATTGTCATATGATAGTTTTTATGATAATTTTCTTTCTGCTCGAATGTGTGCATGTGTGAGAGAAACGACGGTAGAGCATGAGTGTACGAATACAAACAGACTGTCACACACGACAATGGAGCGAATGTCAAAAGGCATTAGCTCATTTCGTACCAGCAGGTAACTAAACAGGACGCTGATGCTAGACCTGTTGGCCAAATCCCATACACGAAAACTATACACGTGAGCTTTAGTCAAATTCAAAGGATGCCTACTCACAAGTATGGTCACAAGTCCTATTCACCACGGAAATTTAGGCTGTTCCTGAAAAATTTAGATTTGTGAATAATGTGGATAAACCGTGGATAAACTTGGATATTCCTCTTGTTTCAATGTTTACCTTTCTGAGCAAGCAATTCATATCGCATTAAAATGCAAAACACTTTAAATCCATTTGTTTCGAACAATAATTTGATTGAATGAGCAATACACTTGAATAGAAGTTGAAAGATTTTCAAAATTTCAAAGAATTTAAAATATCAAGTGTTTAAACACTTCGATAAGACGTGTGGAATTTTTTGAGTGTATGTCAAAATTGACGCTCCTATATTTCAGTCTAAAGCAAGCACCACACGGCAAAAATATTGTCAATACTCAAAAGTATTGACAATGATATTGATGCAAACATTTAAAACGAAAATATTGATGAACATATTGACGCAAAACCAGAAAAGTTTGATTTCATGTTTCAATATTTCCCCTCATTTTCCCCTTCTGTTTGACTACAGCACGAGACCCAAGTAACAATTTCGGTTTAATAAGGGTTTCGTAGACCATGATACTTTAGACTTATAGCATGCTTTAAAACCTCAATAATGGTGCCTGTTTCTTGGCAACTTTTGTCAAGGTGGTTGTTTGTGATTTGACTTGGAATATTCCATCGGATACATCAATGTTAGTGAGGAGCGACCCTGTATTGATGAACCCTCGAAAATATTGTAGTAAGTATTGACATGAAAATATTGATGGAATTATTGACGAAACTTCTGTCGTGTGGGGTTCACTTAAGGGCACCTTAGACCGGTATACATTTTTCACAGTGTGCAGTATTTTACATTGAATTGTGAAGGGTGCTACGATCAAATTTTGGTCGACTTAAACTTGTAACATTTCTTTTAATCGATCATTTAATAAACCTGAACACCCCTCACTTTGTAGGTCTGTGCGTGCAAAATGATGCCTTTATTTTGATTTTGACATTTGCTCTTCAGTTATCAAAATGGTGTCCACACGGAACCGAAAAATTACCCAAAATTAAGTTCTTTTCACTCATCTCCCATGTTCCGTTCAATAAGCTAATTTTCAGTAAACTGCTTATAGTAGTTTGCATTTGGCTACGGCAAAAATAATTACTTACTCGTATGTATTTTCTACCTAAAATTAAGTTCAATTGACTCAAATTTGAGAATATCTCATATACTCACTAGTAGCTTATTGAACGATAGTCATGAGAAAGTCGAATCTCTCGTTCCGTTTTTGACAACAGCAAAAAGTGAGAGTTGGATGCAAAACTCAAAATTACTCAAAATTAAGTAAAAAGAACTTAAATTTAGGGTAATTTTTTTTCTCTGTGCAAGCAAGAGGAGCAACGTATCAACGCGCATCGCGTAAATTTGAACTACTCACACACCAAGGTAGCGAAATGGTTAATAGTGATCAAATCAACTGTCACCAACGAGGGGGGCGACTCTATCTACGATGCAGAAAAGATTATGTTTTGCTGTGGCTAGCTGCACGCACGCTGAGTAGATAGAAGGAAGATTTATGTCGATTTTGAAGATTTTCTGCAAAATGATGAAGCACGATGGAAGTAGATGCGAGAAATGAAAGATGATTTTTCGAAGATTAATTCGGTAGTGCTAGTTTTTTGAGCATCTAGAATTGAGATTTAGATGTGTCGCCCCCCTCGGTCACCAACGTAACAAAACTGTTCGGGGAACGTTTGTCGACAGCCAGGAAACCTGGATCGGGGAAAAATTGAAAGCCGGAGGCCGCAGTGACGACAACAAGTCAAGCTGAACATTGCATTAGGTCCTAAGCAACATTGACAGATTCTCTTCGTCGACTTTCTCTTTACATCCCCACGGCCATGTAAAGACATTCTCAGGTATTTTCAGCACACATATCGATACAAGAAGCTTTTATCTAGCATCTAATAAGACAAACATAGCACAAACGGTTCTAGGATCAAGTAATTAACGAAAGAGAAAGTCGACGAAGAGAATCGATCAATGTTACTTAGGACCAAAAGCAAAGTTCAGCGAAGTGTCGTCTGCAACCGTGGTTCGAGCTAAAAAATGAGCCGGACTGTCGACTTATAAGCAGGTAGTGACTCTAAATCGCGACGATAAACAAAACAAGCCGGCCAAACCACGATCCCGGATGCAGTTCACGGCGATGCTGACGAAGTTCGATTGCGTGGTAATGGACAACAGGCAGACTTCAAACAGTTCCTGGGTAGGAATTGTAAACAGCAACCGGAAGTGGAACGGTGGCAGACATTTTCAAGCATATGTAACTGTCGAAGTTCGCTAAGAAATATTGGCAGGCTATCTGTACCTGTGGCTTGAAAAGCAGCATTTTCATTGCAACCGGGACCCTCAACCAGGAAATTTACGTAAACAAGTGTCTGGAAAAAGGTCTGCTGCTGTCTTTCCTGAAGGCATTTTTGAAATTACGGTAAAAGACCGTGAAGTGGTATGCCAAACAACATACAGGTGGTGATAAAAGTCAAGAACCTTCCCAACACGCCAATGCTCCGGTTAATTGAAAAATATTGGGCCATTGTCAAGCGGAACCTGGAGCAGACCAAACAAAAAAAAACTGTTGGAAGTGTGAAGTAGTTTAGGGTAAACTGGCGTTCTGCGGTGAACAAAGTGAACGAAGTTGCTGTATAGAATCTGAGGGCAGGAGATAAATGAAAGGCCCAGCAATCTGGAAAATTTTGATCAACATTGCAGCAGTAGGACATTTGTGTAATTTTCAATAATGACCTATTAAAAATTGAAAAGTGTTCATTCAAGCAGATTTGTAGAAAAATTTCCAATCATTTGACATGTTTTGAATTAAAATCTATACGCTATTGATAGAGTTACAAGTGGTCTAAAGCTGACCACTTTTCGTAACGCTGTCGTTTTTGGTTTCTTTTGTAATTGCACCCTCAATATGTTGCTAAAAGACGTAAATCTACGTCAAAAGTGGAGAGTAGAACTCAGAGGGTAACGCGTTTATCGATGGAAAGCTGTAATCGTTACTGAGGAAATCGCCTTTAAGTTCGCAAAGATATCCATTGATCTGATGGAGTGTAACCAGTTATTAAAATTGAATTCCTGTCCAAATTCTTCCGTTCCAATAAATATTGAGATTTATTAAAAATCAAAGACACTTCCCCCCAAAACGCAATCAATTTCTTTCAACCGACGAAATCCTGCAACACTGCACTCTACTCGGTGGATCGGCGTTTCACTGCGGTACACCGATCAGCAGCTCCCGCTAGAACTCTGCCAATGACGCCTGTCATATACATAGGCTTGCGGCATTTCCCATAGAGGAGGCAGAAAGTGATTCTATAGGGCCTATTTTTCTCTCGCTTGCTCCGCTTCTCACCAAAGAACATTCTTGCTTCCATTGCTCTCAACTGCTGTATGCGGAAACAAACCAAAAGGGTTGCTGCAAGTAGATATCCCCTGAATGCGCGCGTGAAAAAAGCCAAGTGTTTTCATTTTCATGCGAAAGTGCCTCCCTTCTCTCGTTGACGTTCCCCGTGTCGCCATCGGACTTGCTTCGGGTTCGTTCTTTTATTATTTTTCGCTTTTTTGAAGTTTAAAGGTTGTTGACACTTCGGTTCGGCCTGGTGTTGGTGTGTTTTCTTTTTTTTTGTATTGTTTACACCGGATAAATAAATGCACACCATAGGGCTTTGATTCGGAATTACGCCTCCTTCCGTCATCGACGTCGTCGTAGGCTTTCCAAACGACACGGCGACCCAGCGGCGGTGGGTGGTTTGTTTTGTAAAATGGGGCGGACAAGTCGGCGAAACAGTGGTGGAGCGGGTAAGTTCAGGGCGAAAGTGCAACGTTCTGTTCTGTTGCTCGGGCGAAGGGAAGTCGACTCCGTTCGGCGCTGCACTTTGGTTGATTGAAGGCATTAGTATAGGGATTTTTTTTTACGTTTTTGTTTCGTTGGGGTAGGTTAGGTTTGGCAGCGATGGCGACGACGATGACTGGTTAGAAGAGGTCATCGACTTGAACTCCAGGAATCGTTTAGTGGCGAGGCTTGGATTCGTAGCAGTCAGTGTCAGTGTGGGAAAATATGGAAATTGAACTCGATTGGCCTATTGCGTGATCGCGCGTTAGAATGGACCAGGGCGGAAATGCACATTCTGGTCATTCTTGATAGGATGATGGATTATTTATTAGAGTTTGGCGGCGGAGGTTATTGACAGTATGGCTTGGAAGAAATAATTGTGCTTCGCCGCTTACCTTTTGCCTCTATATGATGCCCATAGATTACGCTTTGATTATCTGAAATAGAAAAAAGTAAAAAGTCGTTAGAAAGTTGAATTAAATTTGCTAAGGAAAGTTAAGAACTAAAATGGATATAGTCTTGATATTGGGGCCGCAGGCTATGACGGGTATGACATTAACTTTCGAAAATCTTTCGGGTTGGAAATTGACTCGACTACCCTGCGCATAGAGTATCATTTTACTCACCACACAGTATACAAACTTATGCCTTCGTTGGCATAGAAGCCTCTCTATTAATAACTGTGGAAGTGCGTGTAGAACACAAAGTTGAGAGTCGGCCAACAGTCAAGTCATCAAGAAGTGGAAGAAGATGGTTCTGATCAAATAGACCCTGTTCCCTACCTGGCCTCTGGTAGGACCTGCTCGCTAGATCCGTAACGGTACCCCTGACGGCACATATAACTGCATGAGTTCGAATGCGAAAGGAAAGAGAGACGAATCAAAGAACTGCAAGAACTAGCGGGGTCTCGGATCTCACCTCTCAGCAGGATTCCGACGCATTGTTATCCGGAGAAGATGGATGGCTCGATGAATGGACCGTTTACCGGCAGAATCTTTTGTTTTATGACTTTATTTGTGTTACCACGTTCGGTTTGTTTTGTTTTGGATTTTTTTTTTCAGAATGTGAATTTTTGTTTGTTTCTTTATTATAAAGAATTTCAGCCTTAGACCCAGATGTAGAAAAAAAGGTTGTAAATTGAATGCGTATCGAATTTCGGGTTCATGCCAGAATAAATAATTTGATTTCTTAAATGAACAGAAATGAAACTGTACATATGTCACGTTCTTTTAATGCGTTAGCTATTTTCGTTTAAGCAGTTGCACGCAGAATATGTTGAATGCGATCCTGCTTAAAAAGTGTTGTTTTTCTGAAAGCAGTAGTTTCGGAATAATTCAAGCATAGAGTGCATGGCAGGCTATCTCTTTTTTTTTTAAATGAGAAATTTTCGAAAAAGCAGATGCAGAGAGATTACATAACAAAACCATAGAAGTGGGATATATATTATAGATCGTTTGATCTTGCATACCAAGCGATTAGGTTAATGATTACAATGCGGAGCGGGAGTTAGAACGAGAGCGAACAATGAGCGCAACTTTGCACGACCTGAAAACGTTCATGAAACCATCATTCATTTCATTCGATAGAGATATTAATTTTTGAAAGTATATGAGCATGCATTTCAAACAAAAAAATAACAAACCATATAAACATTAAACCAAAAGTGGGTTTCTCACCTAAATAAACGAAGAATCTGGACGTTGGCCCGTGGATTGGGATAACTTCAACTAATTGAGCTGATTTGCTGTAGATAACTAGTAACGCTAATCACATACAAAAAATCAACGTTATTGGTTGAAGGACAACCTAGAAATAGCGGTGGGTGGACGGTTCCACCCACCGCATTTATGGAGGGAATGCAGTTTCCATATATGCGGTTCTCGCCTGATTCCATTTGTGCGGGGGAAGCGCATAAATGAAATCCACGTGGATGTATAGAAGGTTACTGTTTTCGGAAAAGATGTTCAGTGGATCAAGGCCTTGTGGTTGGTGGACAGCAGATCACAATTTTCTAACTACGCGGCGCTAGTGTGCATATGTATTTCCTGCTTAAGCTAAGGACTGTTCATTAATGAAAGTAGACACCATATTTATATTCGAACAAATTTATAAGTTTACTTTGTATAAATGAAAATCAACAAACATATGACTGATTTCACGTGAGTTTGAATGTTTACTTCTCATTTCTGAAGAACGCTCGGACTTTTCTCTTGATACCGCCCATTAGATTCTGCACAACTTTCTTCTTAACTTTTCGTTGTGCAGCAGACCAAATTTTCTTGCAGCAGTCAACAGAGCATGCTTCTCTTCCATCTTTCTTAAGATGCCGTTTAATTATTGGCCAGTATCTTTCGATAGGACGCAGTTCAGGCAACAATCAATACGAAACTAACGATTTTAAATTGGCTCACTACTTGACTAGCCTATTGGTCCCAATCAAACCATTAACGTAGCCCATTCTATTCGAAATTCTAGTACTACACATTGTTTGTTTTGATTTGCTATGAAAGTTTGACAGATAAAATGAGGGGTTAGTGGATTTTCTTATGTTTTGAGGGGTGAATCGATTAGCTTGAGACCGAAGAGAGTACCAGAGCTGAGCCAAAAAGTTGAGCACGTTTCTTCGGGACCTTCTAGCCTTAGAGTTACCTCTATGGTTCAGGGTAGTTTGGGGGATTTTGGAAGTATTCGACCAAATCGACTTTTTCCTTCTTGAGCATCTCCAACGTAGCAGAAGCATAGTGAGCAGATGCCAGATCCGGCCAAAACAATGGAGGATCCGTATGCTTTCGGTAGATGGGTAAAAGCCGGTTTTGTATGCATTCTTTTCTGTAATTTTCATCATTGATTGTGCTCGTTGTTAAATACGAAGAACTCTTCAAGTCACCGAAGCAAATGGCCTACCACACCAAAACCTTTTTATCAAATTTTTCGGTTCAGATGTATCGCACATCAACAGGCACATCTGTCCTCTGCTCAGCGTTGAAAAATTGCGGCTTGGGAAGTGTACTGGTATCCAATTTGACGTACGTATCGTCGTCCATCAAAATGCACCGGTTCGGCTTTTGAAGGAGAACGTCATACAAGTTCCGTGACCGGTATTTTTGAAGAAGCTTTCTGTGAATCCGTCCTTTTGGGTGCTTTTTGCTTTTTGTAGGTTCTGATATTGTTACGTTTTTTTTTATATTCTGCACAGTTCCGACGCTAATGTCCAATTTTTTGGCAATTTCACTAACGGAACACGGTTTATGCGATTTCAAAAGGCGTACTGGTGCTAGCTTATTTTCTGGTCTGATGCCTCCTTTTTGCGCCTAGATTTCGGTAAATCTTCAAGAGAACACGTTTCTCCAAACTTTTTAACAATCTTGAACACTGTAGATTTACTGCACTTCACGTTTTTTGCCAATTCTCGAAACGACAACTTTTCGGAAAACCATTTGTGCAGAATTAATCTGCGAGTTGATAAGCTGATCCGAACCATCATTCGAAATGTCTAATTTTGTTTCATTTTGAAGTTGTGTTGCCAAAACAAACAATGTTTTCACACACTGAGCGAAAATTCACAATTTTTTGTTACGTTTTACCCTAAACCATTGATAAATAGGTGTCCACTTTCTTTGATGAACAGTCCTAATATCTTGAGATCTTGGCCATCTAGAATGTTTCTGTCTTCAAAAAACTTGTTAAGGTGATCAAGACTCAAGTGGGCAGATTAGTTGAGAATTAATTCACTACGTGGCGCTAGTGTACAAGCGAATATTTGTATAAGCTATATATTGAGTTCTTGACCACCTAAGAAATTGCTATCTTCGGCAAAGTTGATCATTCGACCAAAACCATTCGGATGATGGGTAGATTAGTTGAGAATGCATTCACTACGCGGCGCTTGCGTACAAGTGATTATTTGTATCTATCTATTAATTATAATGAAAGGCCAGCGTCCGTTAGTCTGTTCCCGTACTTGCTTTTCTGTAAGATGCTGTTATTTTTTTTATCCATATAGAGTGTATCTCAAAAACAATTTCAAGCTAATTCGAAGGAGAAATCTACGAGAATTGAGTGGAGAATTTTGTTGAGGGTTCCGGAATCAATTTGTTAGAAATTTAAAATTAATTTAAGAGTGAATTTCAAGAGATACCTGTAAGAAGGAAATGTGAAGAAAAAGAAAGCAATACCAGAGTCTGAATATGGTCTTAATAGGAAATTAATCAAAAGAACTTCTGTGAAGAGTTCCACGATACCTAATTGACCAATTTTTAGAATACCCGATACAGAAAATAAATCAAAATTGGAATTCTCTTCAATATTGATGCTAAGAAGAGTTTCCATGATCCCGGAATGAGATTTTTTTTCAAGATTCTCCAATATTAGATGTTTTAATATGAAGACGGCCCCGGCGTAGTAGCTATCGTCCATGCCTCTCACGCATAAAGTCAATAGTTCAAATATCATCCTCCGAAATGTCATGAATGACACAAGCACCCTTTTTCGCCACGGAATTCTGCTTCATGTGTCGGTTCGGATGTTTACCGGCTTTGTATCCTGGCAAGGATGATCCGCACCGTTTGAAAGTTGGCGTGGTACCTTCTGGACACATCTCGGATCGAATGACCGCGGTTGGCTTTAACGCAACTCAACACCTTGCTGCGCAACTGACGATCTAGTTTTTCGTAGGTCCGCTGATTCGTGTCCACACTCAGGGTTTCCTTGTAGGTTTTGAACACTCAACAAACTGTTGCTTTTGGCATCTTCAGCACTTTAGCCAGCTTGGAAGCGGACCACTCCAGACTTTCCAGGTTTGTGTGTACAATATTTTCCGTACTTTGATCAAACTTGCACCAGTTCCCAGACAACCAGAAGTCGTATAACAATGTACAGACAATATCGTAAATTGCTACAGTTACAAGTATAAACAAACCACTGTCAAAGATTTTCGATTCCCAACACTAGAGGCGTTCTAGCGGCCTGCGAGGGGCGTACCAATTTACTTTTAGTCAGCCTGTCGTAACGTTTCCATTAAAAACAATGGACTTTTTTTTTTCGGATGGTGTTAAAAAAGCTAAGACAGACAATTTCTTTTGATAAATTTCCCATGGAAGGTAATTATGACTTTCATAGATATAATACTAGAAACGCGGTTGAAATAAGAACACCACATTTCTTGACTTGTGCTTCACAAAATTCATTATATTATAAAGGAATAAATGTTTTCAATTCGATGCCTAGACATATCAAACGTTTAGCAACACTAACAGAATTTAAAATACACTGCATTTCACACGTTAAAACTGTCTTTTGAACAGTTATCCAGTGATTTTTTTATGAATTGACAAATTATGTATCTTGACGAAGTTATCTCTAACGGATTATTTTATATGGATAGCTGTCATAACGACTTTTTAATAATTACTGTAGCACTGCAAAAACTATTTCTGTT